CTGTTCCTTTATCACGTAGTCAATTTACTAAGGAACTACGAACACTTTTGGCCCAAGGTGGTCATCACCCTGCTCACTATGCAGGCCACAGCTTTAGAATCGGAGCGGCTACCACAGCTGCGTCCCAAGGTTTGCCTCATTGGCTTATTCAAACGCTAGGAAGATGGTCTTCCGATTGTTACCTCAGATATATTCGCACGCCAATCAATGTCCTTACAGACGTTTCAAAACGATTGATTGCAGAGTGAGATAAACACTCGATCGTTGTTTGTCGGTCTATGGGGATCACACACACTATCGTTGTGTAATTGTGGAGGCAATTGCTCTAGTATGAGGTCGCAATTTTACCATAGACCTCACGTTTTCTTTACGGAATTTGGCAACCTGGCATACAGCCAATTCCCATTTACAAAAATCACTCTATTTCTGCATATGAGTATATGTGCTGAGCCAGATCAGTGTTCTAAGAAATATTTCCCTGATCATTTTTTTCCCAGGGCCCAGCTCAGAGTATATGTCTTGCAGGGCAGGCTAGGATCCAGCTCTAAATGGAGTATATGTTCTAGCCGACTCAGGACCCAGCTCAAAATCCGTAAAAGTATATGTCTTGGGCAGATTAGGACCCAGCTGCAAATCAGTATATGTCCTAATCGACTTTCCCCAAGATCCAGCTTTTCAATACGAGTATATTCCCTGGGAACCGCTCAGCACCCAGCTCTTCGCAGATAAAAAATACAGTATATAGAGCAGTTGTCCCACACTTCCATAACCCCACAAACCTTGTGTTCTTATGCGTGTCGTTATATTAAATATCTCAACATATATATATTTATTAAACGGTGAGGACATTAACCACCGACATATGCCTTATAATGATCTTCTTCATGACTTCTAAATTGCTCGCCTGTCGCTTTCACAGTATACTTAAAACTAGGGGGCATTGAAAAAAAAAGACCATAGCCCCAGGTTCAAGTGGGTCATCACAACAATCCTCTTTGCAGTTAGAAAGTTGGTCTAGACTACTCAGCATCTCACTGTTCTCCACACTCATCATTGATTTAACATACATGGGGTCTCTCCTCAATTGGTTCCAATATTCAAACACGTTTTCATCCCACTGAAGCTCTAAAACTCTGGTCACCTCGACAAACTTATTCCATACCACGTCTTTTTTTTTGCTAACTCGCTCTATGGCTTCCAAATCATACATCTGCGATCTCTCCTCATACGATAACATAAGACACTCACTCTGACTAAAGCGATTTAGTTTACACCCACAGCACTTCTCTTCGAAAAGCTCATAAACCTCGCAAGAAACAGTTTGTGCAAATATTGTCTCTAACAAATTGCATAGCTTCCGAAATTCCATAGGCGAAACATTATTCGACCTTGAAGAACGCATACTTGGTCAGGACATGTGCAATACAATTACATAATGCTTACTAAACTGGACGTACACTAAGTACGAACGCTTGGACGTACGCTTGGACGCACGCTAAGTACGTACGCTAAGTACGTACGCTAAGTACGTACGCTAAGTACGTACGCTAAGTACGTACGCTAAGTACGAACGCCCGGACGTACACCCCCTGTTGACGTCATTCGCTTGAATCACTTCCGGTGCTATATGGGGGGGGGGGTAACCTACTACTGACAACTGAAAAATAAATCTTACTGGCAGCTAACAATTAGCTTGAATTTTATCTGATAACTGATATGAAAACTTCCCATTGCTAAGGTAATTCTTCGTACACAGATTCTTCAGGAACTTCGTTTCTTGGATTGTTATCCATGTTTGATGAAGCATACTGGTGAACATTTTCATTGAGATCTCTGTCAATTTGCATCTGATCTGTGGTTTGCAAACTTTGATAATTTGCATCAATGGGAACTCTCATTGAACTATCCAGTTGCGCATAACCTTCTGTATTTAAGCTTTGATAATTTGCATCAGTGGGAACTCTCTTGGAACTGTCCAATTGCGCGTAACCTTCTGTATCCAAACTTTGATAATTTGCATCAATGGGAACTCTTTTGCAATTATCCAGTTGCGCATAACCTTCAATATCCAAACTTTGATCATTTGCATCAACGGGGACTCTCATGGAACTGTCTGGTTGTGCAGTTTCCGCTGGTACTACATAATCAGTATCAGAATAAGGTATCTCTGGCAGTCTTCTGTCTGCCGGTTGTGTATCACCTTCATAAGCAGCATTTTGAATGTTACCGATGTCTTGCGTGTTTTCTTTTCTAGCTATTCGTCGATATAGAAAACAAGCGACGATCAAGACTACCGTTATCAAAACAATCAGTGCTGCCACCAAGGCTCCAATAATTGCCCCAGTGTTAAGGTTTGATGAAGGATTGGATAAACCTGGATTGGGTATTTATAAAAATAAAATTAGTTGTTGATTATTAGAATGTATTTTATAACTATAAAGTATGCGAGCGTTGATTGGTCGATAACCATAACGGGAAATTTCCCATCTGTTACGCTTGATTTTAAAGCTTGAAAAAAACAATTTTAATGCGCGCTGTAACCTACAAAAATGTGCAAAAATGTTTAGGTTTTACAAAAAAAAAACCAGATTGACATGAAATTCTCAGTGAAAATAGAGGAAAACGCGTCTTGTAGTGACCATTTTTTTGTCAAATTGACGAGTAAAGGCTATGCAAGCGACATGGGCGTCAATCCTGACGTTGTTTCTTGGTTATCTAAAAACCTAATATAATGCATGGTATGCTATTCATCAAAAATTGTGATTGAAGGGAAGACATTTAATAAGAAGATGTAAAACGTATGATCTTTCTGTAGCCGCTGGGAGCAAATACTGACATCGCATATGTTATGTAAAATTGTAAATACTTAAAAATTATTATGTTTTAACTGAGTTTCCCTTAAATAGATGATTATCATCAAAATAAGGGTGAGGACATGTTAGCCTGTGAACAGACGTTACTCTCGATGAAGCGCGCGCTTTGTCGAGAGCAACGTCTGTTCAGAGGCTAGGGCATGTTCGTTTTTAGCGGATTTCACACATGGTTACTCTATATATACATATCCTCTGTATATTACAATGTGCATGATCCTGCACATTGCAATATATAGAGGATATTACACGGCGGTGCGAAGATATGACTTTTATTTTCGAGCGGTGAAAACAATATTTGTGACCTTCCATGGGAAAACATACGTTAACGATTTTGCATTAAAACGGGAAAAAATAACGGATAACGAACGGATAGTCGGATGAAGACAAAAAAATTAACGGCTCTACGAATGGCTTTAACAAACCGTTCGAACGGAATTAAGAAACCGTTTAATTAAACGATATTCGGCGAGCGTTTCAACGGATTTGTACAGAATGGTATATAAAGCATTGAACAATAATATACAAAAACTCATCAATGCACTGATCCAGAATTAACAACCACGCATTTATCCAGATGCATGCAGACGCATGCACACACAAAATAGATCACTTTGGTGTTTATAAACGTTTCAAATTTTATGAATTTCCAAACTAACAATATCAAAGACGCTAAAGTGGATTTGCAGTTGCTATTAAATTAATCCAATTAATGTCACTTTTTGTGACATGTAATGCAAGTGTTTCTTATCACGCTGCACGACACGATAGCTATAACCTGAAAATATCGGAAAAGGTGGGTTAATTAAGTACCTTCCATCTGTTCTATCGAACTCTGAGATCCTAATGTACGCTGATGATACCGTGATATTCCGCGAGGGTGCTGAAGTATGCAAAATTCAACACTACAGGAACAGTGTCAGACGATTAGGAAAATGTAGATATGTGGTTTAAATTAATAAATTAATAAGGTTTAAGATAATATGCTACATATATGCATATCCATAAGGATAAAACGGCAACATGCACG